GGGGCGTTTGAGGGGGGGACTAGGTGGGAGTCGGGCACCAGGGACTCCTGTTCATTCTCCGTTTTCTGCCTTAATTAGAACCCGGAGAGACCAGGCGAAATCGCATTAGCGCGGGGCCCCGGTGCGCTGAGCCATCCATCTTTTTTTATTACAGCGTAATGGGGCTGCTCGCGAGGCGCCGTGCGATTTGTCACAGGCCTCGTTCCCTGATAACGGGCATTTGTCATCACTTTCTTCCCGTGTTAATGTCATCATCGGCGAGCTGACAGGCAGACCCGTTGAGGGAGCACTGGCGACAGACCACATCCGTCAACCTAATATTTCCATGGCTGTGGGGATCAGCCGGGCTGCAAACACACATTAAAGTGCTTATGAGGGGAGGGGGGGGTGAAAAAAAAAGTGGTTGTCATTAATTAAAATATTAGTGTGAGAGTGTGAGAGTGTGAGCGTGCGTGCGGGTGGCACTGCGTGGGGACAGGGGGGCCGCGGGGCGGGGCGGGTGCGGCGCGGTGGCCTTTTAACGGAGCGCGCTTCAGCTCCTGAAACCCATTTAAAAGATATTTGGGGCTGGGGAATCAGCGGTGAGCACGGTGGAAAGGTCATTGTTAATAAGGGAGAGCACGCGGGGAGGGCGCGGGCATGGCCAGCGGAGGATGGAGGAGATGGTCACCCCCGGAGCGGGGCGTGCTGGTCCCGCCGGGAGTGGTGGAGCCACTTCTGTCATGAAGTGAACGGCCTCAAATCTGCMTGGCAGGAGGATTGGAGAAGGAGAAGGGAAGGACACCTCGCAGTGGGGCTTTTCCACGKCTGGGCAAAGGCAGGAGTGGGGTGTGGGATGGGCTGTGGGACTGCGCTGCCCACGAACAGGTTTTGGGGCAGGGCTCTGCAGCTGCAAGATGGGCTCATGGCAGGAGAAGTCTAGAGGGTCGAACTGGAGATGATCCCCCTCGGGAGGAGACCTGAGGCCATTCAGTGGCAAGAGGGCTCAGGTCCCCACCCCAGAATGTGCGATTGTTGCCATGGAAATGGGTGTTGGTGATGGGAATGAGGGTGGGCAGCAGAGGGTGTCTGGTGTCTTGGGTTTTSCTGGAAGTGGGATTTTGTTTTCTGTACTTTTCTGGGGTTCCTGTGTCATATAGAACAGGAAGGCTTGGTGGGCTGCTTTTTSTTTTCTTTAATTATCTTTTTGTGATGTTTTTTGAGGATCTGGTGATGGGCATCTCAGTCMGCTCTACCCAGCTCCCACTGGCACAACCCCAATTTGCACTGTAAAATGTGCCTCCAGGAGCTCTTACACAAATGGGGACAAGATGCTTCTTTGCTCAGACCCCATCCTAAGGTTCCCTGGCAAAAGCCCCTGATGTTCCCGACCTGTGACTGGACCTGGTGCCTGGAGAACAGGCAATGGCAGGGCACAGACAGGCGTGGGCAGCGCTCAAACCCTGCTGAGGGCAGATGAGGGCTCAAGGTTTGAAAAKAKGGGCATGCACAGAGCCTTCATCCCYATGTCCCCCACCCCACGGAGGGTCAAGGGCAGTCTGTGAAGAGAAACATGCGTTCCACAGCCCAAGAAAGTCATTACACTTCCTTTCATTGTTTTTCTTCTCTTTCTTGTCTTCTGTCCTTCCTTGTCCCACTCACAGGCTCTGTTCAAAGTCAGGTTTGGGGTGAGCTGTGGGGTTTTTATAGAGATCTGTGTCCTTTATGTGTGTGCACATGAATGCACGCTCCTGCACACACAAATACACACCCCCAGAAGTATTTCTGTTAGTACACCCCAAAGTTTGGCTCACTGGTGAGCACCGAGGATAGGTAGAGCTGGRAAGGGGTCGKTATCTCCAGATGCTGAAGGGGAAAYTGAGGCAGGGAGACTTGCAGTCTTCATCCACGCTGTGGTTACAGGTAATCCCATCACCAACAGCATTGGATGAGTCTGCAGACATCAGGGGAAAGGTGCACAGGAGATTTTCTTAGGACAGGCTCCCAACCCAGTGACATCCYCACCCCCCCAGCATCAAACCCGGCCACCAAACCTCCCCCCACTGTGGCTCCCCGCCATAAATCACTGCCCTCCATTGGCCGAGGACCTTTTAAAAAGGATTTATTAGGGGGGATWGAAGCCCAGGCAGCGATACGGTTTCATAAATCGAAAGGCAATAGCGCTCATCGTTACCGGTYGGCTCTGGGGGGGCACCCCCGCTCCCCCCGTTCCCACGGCCCTGGAACAGCTCCTCCCCGGCACCGCTGCCTCCGCCGCTCCCCTTCCTCCCCGTCTGTGGAGACCGCGAGTGTGGAAAATCCCCAGACAGGGAGTGTAAATGCTTGTTCTTTGTAAATGAAGAACATAATTAACATTAAATTAAGGTAATACAAATGAAGACAACACAGAGCCTGACAGGATGAGTGTTTGGGGAGGCAGTAGAGAGAAGTGATTCATATTTTTAATTTACTGTACAAATAGACTAGCAGGGCTGGGGGGAAAAGGGCCATCCATGTGGAGTGGGGAATTTTTTTTTTTTCCCACTGTTGTTTTGCTGTGCTTTAAGCACACAATGACTATTAAAGTCAACTGCCCATATAATAGGACATCTCCTACATGACTGCTCTCYGAGAGGCAGCTTGCTGTAGCAATAAATTCTGGGAGTGCCATCTGCTGGTGCGCACCCTCCGCCGGGCACCCTCGCTCCGGCCACCCGGCCCGGACCAGCCCCGGCACCCTGCCACTGCTGCAGAGACCTGCAGAGCATCAGCCATGGACCTGCAGCCATCCATACAGAATTATGATATTTCTTATAGGGTAACAAGTGCTTTTCCCCCACCCTAAATCGTTAAAATTGTTCAATACATATATATATATATTTATATATATATATATATATATATATACATATACTTTTTTTAGAGGTTGAGTGGGTATGGTTGCTGTCGAGGAAATATTTCAGACTTTTAAAAAGAAACTTATCATTGTTCTCCACCCCTCTGAAGTGCTGGGTTTCAGTTGAGTGCCTGTTACCCAGAACACAKTTTCAAAAATCACCCATTTTAGATTTTTGCCTGCAAAAACTGTYGACCACAGTCCGTGAGAGTTGCAGGCTGGAGCTGGGTCTGCACTTTGGGGAGGYCCCGCTGAGGGATGACTTTCAGCGAGGAAGGAGTCAGATTTGCCATAGGGCRAAAGTGTCTGTGGGGCTGTGGCAGCTGGAATGGGCTCACCTATGTGGCCTTTGTGTCCTTGTTCCCTTCCCTGGGAGGCTCCTGACACCACCAGGCAAAGGAAAAACAAAAGAAGCTTCCAAGAGGATTCACTCCTGAATGAAATCATCCTTCCCAGGCAGAAGATGCCCTGGGATGGTGCTGAAAGATTCCTCTGCTATGCCAAAACAGGAGAGGAKGTTTCACCATTTTGGAGGATTCCTAATTTGGGGGACTCTAATCTTTTTCCTCTGGATGACTTGTGTCCTGGCTGTTCTTATTGGGAGCACTCATGGGTCCAGGGCAGCCACTTGGCCAGGGTTGGGGCATCCACAACTTCTCTGGGCAACCTGTGCCAGTGCYTCAGCACSCTCACAGTAAAGAATTTCTCCCAATATCTGATCTAAACCTGCCCTGTCAGTTTAGASCYATTCTCCCTTGTCCTGTCCCTACATGTCCTTGTAACAAACCCCTCCCAATCTCYTGCAGTCCCTTTATCCACCGAAGCCTCCCCAGAGCCTTCTCTTCGCCAGGCCAACCTCAACCATCTCAGCCTGTGTTCACAGTTCTCCAGCACTCTGAGCAKCTCCATGGCCTCCTCTGGACTTGTTCCAGCAGGTCCCTGTCCTTCCTGTGCTGAGGGCCCCAGAGCTGGATGCAGTATTCCAGCTGGGAATCACTGGATTGTTCTGAAGTCACAGAATCCTTCGACCTGTTAGTCACACCTCTTGTGATGCAGCCCAGGATATGGTTGGCTTCCTGAGCTGCAGGCATGAATAACAAGGTCCTGTCAAGCCTTTCATCCACCTCCAAGTCCCCAGATGAGCCCCTGAACCCCTCAAATACATCCAGAGCCCAGGCTGCAAATAAAGAGTCTGTTTGCAAACCAGTCTGACCCCGGCAGTGCTCCCTTTGTCCTGCATCCTTCCCGTTTGCYGGAAGCTTGGACAGCCTTGGTGAGACAAGAGACAGGGACCAGTTCTGCACCAGCCTCTGTGGGTCAATGGGGTGCTGCCCCAGCCCCACAGGGAACAGGACAGGAGGTGGCACACACAGGAACCCACCTCAGTCAAAACCGGTCCCGGATGGAGCCTCTGCAGTCAGGTGAGATCTGGGGSGACTGAAGCCATCCCTGTTGTGGTGACAGGGACAGTTTGCTGGTAGAACACCCGGTGAAACCAGTGCAAGAAGGTTTCTGCCTCAGAGGCCCCAGGATCCATCCTTCAGGAGCCCATCCCTGCTGGAGCCACAGGGCCTGAGGGTGCTGGCAGGGGCTGAATGCTCTGTGGCTTGTCTGACCRTGGTCCTGGGCCACTTGTGACCTCRCYGACCCCCAGTGATGGCACAGGGACACCAGGGTGTGTCCAGCAAGCCTGATCAGCTTCCCAGATGTGACCATTCACCTTTCTCCTGGAGAGCTTCCATGCAGACCTGCAGATATCCAGTGATGGACCATGACCGTCTCCTTGAGGATCCCCATTCAAAGTCTGGAGAGTTCAAACTGGGATCTTCTCTCTCATTCCAGATTGTCCTGGGGTGAGCCCCAGCCCTCCATGGGAATACCTCAGCCCTTGAACTCACCCACCCTTTGGCACAGCACATCAGAAAAAGGCATTTATGAATTTGGAGAAACCCACCTTCATCTTCATTTCTACAAACCTTAAGAGGATCAGCAGCATTTCCAGGTGTCCAAGTAATTTCTCAGACTCTTCTTTCCACCTTCTCCTGCCTTTTGAGGTCTGTTTGGACACTGTTAAAGAATAGCCATACCCTCCCCAAGCAGAACCATCCAGGGAACTGGATTTCAACATGGGGARCCAGCTTTGGACAAGGGAAAGCAGYTCAGAGCTCACCCAGCCATATCCTTCATGAGAAGCCTGCAGTGGAGCAGCTGGGCATGCCTCCCTGGCAAGACAGAGAGAAAGCCCAAATCCTGCTTTTGCAAAAGTACCAGGTCAGTGGAACGGGGCAGTTTGAACTGAAAACCCCAAAGAGAGATCTTGCACCAACAGCCTCAGAAAAAAAACGTTGTCAATGATGAGTTGTCACTGTTCCATGAGCATGGGGGTTCCTCACCCCCAGGTCCTGATGGAAAAGAGGATGGGCATGTCCTTTGACATGGGACCCTCAAATGGGTCTCCAGATGCATCCAGAAGTCACCATAGAATTTTGCCAGTGACCCCCAGCCCTTGGAAAAAGGGCACTTCTGGCTCTGGTGGTGTCTGAACCCCCGACAGCAATGGGTCCTGACCCCACATTTCCACAGTCTGCCACACTTCACTGGCCACACAGAGCAATCCTTGGCCATAAGGCAGAATTCCCAACTCCTTGGCTCTGCCAGGGCCCAGAAATGGGGGGCTGGTCCCAGGGGGRCCATTGTCCCCACATGGAGGGCAGGGGGCACCTTCCAAGCCGCCCCACATGCTGGGTGGGAGACACAGATAAATACCAGAATAAATAAATACAAGTGGCAAAGAGGCCTGAAATGATGCTGTCGTTTGCTGGGAATGAGAGACACAAGTGTAATTTAGGTTTTGATATTATCAAAGTCTCGCTGCTCTAAAACAGCAGGGCACTCAGTGCCTCATTAATAAAGGATAAACTTGGAGTCTATTTACAATGCACTTTTTGGGGTTATTTACACTCCATTATACATATGTAATGCTGCACATATTTACCGCTCTGTTCTGCTGCCGAGAGCAGCCGAGGCGGGAGGGAGGCGGAGTGGGAAGCGGCTGACGCTGCGGAGCCGTGACCCTGCTCTGACTGATGTCCTTTAAATGACTCGAGACGCACGAGAGCCCTGAGCTGGTGGCTGAGGATGGAAGGGATGGGGCCAGTCACTGGTGACCCAGAATGGCCCAGTCCCCACGGGTGCAGGGCCCACCCACCTCCAGAGGCACCCTGAGATCCTGCCAAGGGATGCAGGAAGGGTGGACTCCTCACYGAGTGACCACAAACACCAAACACCCGAGCTGTGGACCTACCTGTCACGGAGAGGGAAACTGGAAAGAAAGAAAGGGCTGAATTATTTGTAACAAAGTGATGTTTGCATTGGCATGAGAGGTTTTGGCCACACAGCCCTTCCAARCACCTGGGTTTACCCCTCACCAGAACGAAATGTTGTAGTTTTCCTGCAACTCACAGCTCCTGGAGTGTGTTTGTGAGAGCTGCTGTGGGGGTCCTGGGACACAGGACAGCCCCTCCCTCCRAACACAGCCCCCAGGACTCAGGGCACAGATGTGGGAGAGATTGTGCTTGGAGAGCTCCTGGGGATAAAGGGATTTGAGTGCATCCTGGATCCGTTTGTCCTCCAGGGAGTTTGGGAGCATGCAGGGTTTCCATGGGAGCATTCTGTGGGGGCAGCAYACGAGGCCAGCACCAGGGGCTTCCAGCAGTCTGTGGAGGGCACAGTGACAGCCCAGTCACCCCCAGCTCAGAGCGGCTCTATGGCCCTGCTGCAACAGCTCCAGCTTTGCACAATCAGCTCGGGGTGGGATACAAAAGCCTGGGAGCCATCCTGACCACTCTTCCTAGAAAACGTGGGGAGACTTTGACCTTTCCAGCCAGCCACAGTGGCGAGGAGAACAAKCCCCTCTTCACATTCTGCTCCTCCCTGGTGCAGGGGAAGCACCCACCCATCCTAGCACATTCCTGCTTGCTGCCATTCCAGGCTAAATGTGCCAAACGATGGCTCTGGTGGCAATACTCTTTATTAAACCACTTGGCAAGGCCCCACACCCAGAAGTGACGAGAACCCCCTTCCCCAGGAGATCCTCTCACCTCTGTGGGGGCATCTCTTTCATCATGGGGGTCAAGCACAGCAGCTGGTGCAGCCCTGGTGCATCAACGGGGCTCATCCTGGGCACAAGCTGTGCCGCGGAGAGACCCAGAGATGACCAGGTTGGAGCAAATTGGCCCCCACATCCTCCCCCAGCCCCGAGCCTCCTCCAACTCCCCATTCCCCCAGCCCACCCAGATCAGGGCAGGCTGGAGCCTGAGCCCTCCAGGGAGCTGCTCTCCAGAGTCCCGTAGCCATCGAGCTTCATCATGCCGATGAGATGGGCTGGGACGGAGAGGACGGAGCGGCGCGCGGCGAAGATGTGGCTGATCTCCATGAAGGTTTTGTTCTTGGTCTCAGGGATGATGAGGTAGACGTACAGGGCCACCAGCAGGCAGACACCACAGAAAACCAGGTAGCAAAAGGCACCGGCTGACATCTGGGGACAAGAGCAGGATGAGGCAGAGAGCCAGGCACTCCCAAAATGGACAGGGCATGAGGCAGTGTCCCGTCCCATTGCCCTTCCCCCAGCTGGCTCTGGCCACTCTGAGGCTGAGCCAGGAGCAGTGGCTTGGTTCCCCATCCTGGGAGAGCAGCAGGGCTGTGTCCAACCCCTCCAGCTCCCCGGGCCCCTCTGCACTGGTACCTGCAAGAAGGGGAAGATGAAGCCGACGGTGAAGTTGCAGAGCCAGTTGAGGGAGCCCCCCACAATGTAGGCAGCCGGGCGGTGCGACTGCGTGAAGAGCTCAGCTGTCATCAGGAAAGGGACACCGGCTGCAGAGGGACAGGACAGATCAAGGGTGTGGGGGACAGGACAGATCAGGGGTGTGAGGGACAGGACAGATCAGGGGTGAGTGGGACAGGACAGATCAAGGGTGTGGGGGATAGGACAGATCAAGGGTGTGAGGGACAGGACAGATCAGGGGTGTGAGGGACAGGACAGATCAAGGGTGAGTGGGACAGGACAGATCAGGGGTGTGAGGGACAGGACAGATCAAGGGTGAGTGGGACAGGACAGATCAAGGGTGTGGGGGATAGGACAGATCAAGGGTGTGAGGGACAGGACAGATCAGGGGTGTGAGGGACAGGACAGATCAAGGGTGAGTGGGACAGGACAGATCAAGGGTGTGGGGGACAGGCTGACCCAAGCGCCCCTGGGATCATCAGGCTCTGCCCACCTCAGTCCTGGGGCCAAAGGGCTGCAGCCCAGCAAGACTCACAGTTCAAACTGGCGGTGCTGCGTGAATTGGAGGAGACAGGGAGTGTGGTGGAAGGGTGTCCTGCCCTTGGTGTCCCTTTGGGATATGTCTCGGGGGTGGGTGATGTCCCCCTGACACACCACACTTGCACAGTGCTTGGTGCTCAGCCCAGTTCCACAAATTGCATGATTGGAAAGTTTCAGACTGAGTCAAAATAAAGGTGGAACATTTCATGTGGATCCTCGTTTTCCAAAAATGTTTCTAAATGCYGATATATTAAATCTCACAGAATCACAGGCATAAACGTCTTCCTGGCACCCTCCACAATGCCCCTTCCAGACTCCCTTGATCACAACAGTTTAGAAAACTTCCTTCTATCAATCAGCTTCTGTCACCTCTGTGGCTGATTTAGGAAGGACAGAAGCAACCACTTTTCCAAGCATCAGAATTTCYTGCAGGACACAGAAATATCATTTTCCAATCCCCTTTTCCTATGTATGGCAAAAAAACCCAGAATGTATGGAAGTGATTTCCCAAGCCAACTTATAAGTGGACTGAAAACTGGACACAGGTTGTGGCTATTTCTCCTGGAAGGACGGAGCCTCTCCAGCCAGGAATCACTGAGCTGGAAGTCTGGGTCCCTGGACTGTCCCTCTGATGGGGGTCCAGGGTACATTCCAAGGGAATCAGGCAAGGGATTGTATTTGATATGATGACATGCCGGGGTCCCAGTGGCCTGGGACAGGGCTGGCTGGACCTCTTTATAAACAAAGGGAAAAGATGAACCCAAACACAAGTGTAAGACGTGAAGGAGGAGTGGATCCCCTGATGGACTCTTACTCACAGCTCACCCAGAACAGAGATATATATATTTTTTTTTTGTTTTAAAACTCCTATTCATCATTGTTTGTGAACAATGAGCCATTAAAATCCTAATTAAAGATGTAATTACAGTGAATAAAGTCTGGGCTGAGGATGAATTATAGATCTGCTAAGAGCTCTGCTAATACATCARCTGGGTAAAGCAGTCCAGGTTTCACTCCTGGCTGTTGGAGCCRGCTCTCAGTTAGGGGTAGGATGATTCTCACCAGCTGCACTGTGCTGGGAGYGGTGACACCTCCACAGAGGCCTGGGGAAGGTGCCAGGACTTTCCCTGTGCTTGGCCCTGGAGCACACACCAGAAGGACGAGGTAGAAAGTGCCCAGGGGATGTGTGGGGCTGGAGGGRTTTGTGGTGGGGTTTCACTTGGAGTTACAGCATCATAACCCAGGGCCTGACCACAGGGACAGGGACAAAGCTCAGGTCCTGTCACCTGCCTGCAAATTCCCATTCTCTCCCCAGTTACCCCCAGACCCACCTGGTCCCATGCAGAAGCCAGCGATGATGCCGACCACGCAGGCGACGCTGACGTAGCGCATCCAGGGCAGGGCGGCCTGCGAGGGGACACCGAGCTGGGGATGCTGCTGGGGCTGCTCCCGAGCTCCACAGCCCTGGGAGCAGCCCTGGGACAYGGCTTCATGCCTGCCCTCGGGGACAGTGGCCACACAGACACATCRGTGAGATGCAGGCAAGCAAAGGGGCAAAGGTGGTGAGGGTCAGCTCGGCCAAGYTCAGCAGCTCGTGGTGTTGCAGCATCCCCAGAGCCATGGGAGCACCTCTGGAATCAAACAGCAGGAGAAGAACCCTCCTCCCACCCTGGCATTTCTCATTTGCCTCCCTAAGAACAACTATTTCTGCAAGAAAGCTACCAGTAACTGCAGAATTTTTCTGATACGGATTTGTAGTTCTTTTTTTTGTTGTTTTTCTTATTGCTAAATTTACCTTCTCTTTAACTTTGAAGGGAAAATATGACTTGAAAGAGCCATCTCACCTCTTATTTGCATGCATGCTCCCTCCCCCAGGATGACACCCATCCCTCCATCAACCAGGCCAGGGGGGTAGCCCAGGGGGTGGCCCAGGGGTGGCCCAGGGGTGGCAGTGGCCAGGCCCTACCTGCAGCAGCAGGGAGACGGTGATGCCAGCYGAGCAGACACCCATGGCACAGAAACCCGTGATGATGAGGGGCCGCCGGCCCACCCTCTCAATGGTGAGGCACTGCCAGGGGAGAGCAGAGACTGATGGGGTGTTGGGGAGCTCCAGGGAGGATGGGAGCACCCCTGAACCCCATTTGGCTGAGGGTGGGAGGATGTCCCAGTGGCATCTGGGGATCAAGGGCAAACCAGGTTGGAGCAAATTGGCCTCAGAGTTCAGGGTTGGAGCTGGGGCACAGAAAGTGCCAGGAGTGACCATGCATGGCGCAGGGACGTGTCCCCACAAGGATGCAGGGTCGGGGCTGGCGGGGGTGACCGTGGAGCTGCACTGGCACCAGTGGAGGTGCTGGGCTGGGCACGGGGTGTTTGTGGGGCAGTGGGCACAGCAGGGTGCGGGCAGGCAGCGCGGCAGCAGAGGGAGCAGGCAGGGTATTGACAGCAGAACAAATGCCTGTAATTTTATAACCAATCTCGGCGTGTCCATCGGGGGCCGTTTGTGGGGCTGCTCCCAAGCAATCTGGCTCTGTGCTGGGCGGCTGCTGGGGGGCTGGGACAACCCGCAGACAGGGGAGGRGAGAAGGGGAAACCCTTCAAAGAGGCAGGGGACCCCACTCTGCTCTAGATTGGGCTATGGGAGAGGGGAGCAGCCCCCACTCATTCCCTGTTTTCTGGGAGCAGCCTCCCCATCCATCTCTGTAATTGTCAGGGAACGGATTTAGTGCCGGGTGGCTTGAGCTGGCCCTGGGTGACACTTGCAGATGGGACAAGGGCCATAAATCTGCCTGGCCCAGTGCTAACTCTCCAGCTAAATGAGGGCTGGCTGGGGGGGCCAGGGCTGCTAGCCTGGGGCCAGGCCAGTGCTTGGCTGGCGGGGGCAACAGRGACATGTGGCTCTGCTAACAGAGGGACAATGAAAGCGAGAGCCAGAAGGAACTTCTCRTCCCCTCCATCATCTCCAACCTGCTCTTTGCCTTCCATCTCTCCCCAACCTCCCTGCTACCCTAAAATTATCCCACCACTCCTAGATGTGACTCCTAAATGGATCCTGTCTCATCCCACCTCCCATCCTCATTTCCATGCCAAACCCTTTGCCCCCCCGAAAAAGGGCTGTGCTGTAGCACAGATGATATCTGGGGATCCACCCCTGTTTGATGGTGCTGGGAGATGACAAGAAGACTCTGGCATGGAGGGGCCGTGTCCATCTGTCCGTCCATCACTCACCCCGATCAGCCCGGCAATGATCTCAATGGCGCCGGTGCCCATGGTGGTGTAGGGGATCTGGGACACGGGGATCCCGACGTTCTCGAAGATGGTGTTGGTGTAAAACCAGATCTGCCGAGGAGGGGACGCAGCGTGAGCCGGGGCTGGAGCCGTGGGGCACTCGAGATGAGCTGCCAGCTCTCAGTGTCTGCAGGGCTGTGTCCCGGGGCGAGGAGCACRCGGGGCTTACGGCATCGATCCCCGAGAGCTGCATGCCGGCGTTCACCACCGCCACCGACAGCGTCTGCCAGCGCACCGAGCGGTCCCGCAGCAGCTGCCACACCGACACCATCTCCATGGAGGACAGCGACCGCCGCTCCTCCTTCATCTCCTCGATCACATCCTGCACGTCAGGCGTCCCCAGAAACCGGTGCAGTGCTGTGGGGAGTGGGCGGCACGGACAGACGTGTCCCCAGCACAGGATGGATGCTCACAGGGATGGCACAGGGCTGGGGCTTGGCTCTACCCTGGCACAGCCTCCCCATGGGGCATCCATAGGAAATGGGGAAACCCTCACACCACAGTGATGGTCACCTGCCTGCAGGTGGAAATGCTGTGGCACAAGCAGGTGGGACAGAAAGGCTGAACTGTGATGGGCTGTCAGGTCTGGGTGTGAAAGGATGCCATGAGGGTGCCCCTTGGTCTTGGAAGAGCTTGGAGAAGCACCCAGCACCTCCCAGAGCCAGTCTGTCCCAGGATATCCCCTCACCTCTGGTGGCCCCACAGATGTCGTTCCTCTCTATCAGCAGGTACCGAGGGCTCTCAGGGAAGCAGTGCAGCAGCAGGAGCTGGAGGGAGGCAGGAACAACCACCATTGACAGGAAAAGGGGCCAGAACCTGTCCTGAGAGCAGTGGAAACGGGACCTGTCATGGGAAGGGCAGAGCAGGGTCCAGCATGTGTGGGATGGGCCGTTGTGCTCACCTTGCCCAGCAGCTCTGGGAGGCCCAGGACTTGGGCACAGAAAACCCCCAGGCAGATGAAGAGGGTGGGCATGAGACCCAGGAATCCCCGCAGGTTCTTGGGAGCGATTTCTCCCAGGTAGAGGGGCACAACACTGAGACAGATACCTGGGGGCACAGGAGGGACTGGGATGGCACTGGGGAGAAGGGTACCGAGCCAGACCCTCGGTCCATCTCCTCCCATGCCCAGCATCATCCACAGTGGCGACCCCATGGCCTTGGAGGTGGCCCTGGCTGTGCCAGAGAGCCCCTCCACAGAGCCTGTGGGGAATGTGGAGTGCTCTCCAATCCCCTGGGAATGGCTGTAGGGATGGAGCCACGAGGAAAGGRCTGTGCACAGCCCAGGCAGCACCCACCTGAGTGAAGCCCCGTGATGGAGCGGCCRATGATCACCATCTCGGGCGATCCCAGCTCCCGGCTGAAGCCCATGAAGCCGCCGGCCAGGAGGACGAGGAGAGCGCTGCGGCTCAGAGCCCCATTCCTGGCAGGCACAGGCAGAGGGCAGCTCCTCCAGTCCCACCCCACTGCTCAGCCCCCCTGGCCCATGGCAGCACTCCCTTACCTGCCATACTGCTCCACCAGCACCCCCACCAGCAGGGAGCCCACCAGCCCGCCCAGGGCGAAGATGGAGACGGTCAGGGCGTAGAGGAGGGTCAGGGGGCCGGGGGCCAGCCCGTGTCCATAGCGCTGGGACCACGTGGCGTTGTAGAAAGCCTTGATGTACTGCAGGGTAGAGACACACGTAGGCACCAGACGTGTTGGGACAAAAGGGGAAGACAAGGGAAGACAGGATCCATGGGGACAACGCCATGGGTTTAACAGCATTAAAGGAGATGGAGGGCAGAGTATGTTTGGGGATGAGTGGGAGGTGCTGGTCTGGTTGCTCAGTGAGTCTCAGCACCTGAGAGGCTTAAGGACAACTTAGAGATACCACAGACAGAGCTCGAACTGGGACGGGGAGGTTGTGRTCAGTTTTCCAGCCCTGCCTTCCTGGGGGAGCAGTTTGGTGTACACAAACATGGGCTCCCATGTCCCTCCCATGCCATTCCTCTGGGTGACTGCTCAAGGAAAATGCCAGTGTTCTAATGTGGGGCTCCCTCCAAGGGAGGGATGCAGAGCCCTTTTCCCTGCTCCCAGAGAGGCCCATCCCTTACCTCTGCCGGAGARTTCACCACAGCAAGGTTGTAGCCATAGAGCATGGAGGAGCCAAAGGACACCAGAAGGGTGACTGACAGCAAGGGGAAGGTGAGATGCTGGGAGACAGGAGGAAGGATCAGCACAGTCCTGGCCAGCAGACCAGGAGCCAAGGTGTCATGAACTGTGTTGGGTCACTGGCCCTTTTCCAGCAGGGTGACCCTGGTCCAGAGCAAAGGTCCCCATGCAATGGAATCCCGTTCTGAGCACTGCTTCATGTCAGTGCCCAGAGCCCAGCCCAGCTGATCCAGCTTCCCCATGGCTGGTCTTGGGGCTGTAGTGTGAGTGCTTTTACCGTGATGGTGACCCAGCTTGGGTGACCTGGACACCCTTGCCCCCAGCTGGGGAGGCAACAGACGGAAATGGGCGGCGGAGAAGGGAGGGACACCGATCCCCTTCGGTGAATGGAGCCGCAATATGGTGCTGCTGCGAGTGGCCCAACACAGTGAAAGGTCCCCTCGGACGGTCCCAGCCCACCCCAAAACACCACATGAACCCACCTCCTAAACCCTCACCCCCTCCAACACCTTTGTCACCGCTCCAGCTGCTGGGAGTCCCCACTGCGGGGAGCCGGAGGTGCGGGGGCACAGCCACCTGCAGCCCTGACCCAGCCCACCCCAAGATCGGGGTGCCCGGGAGCATTCAGACCACCCCCAGCTCCATGGACACCCCTGGGTGCTGCACCCGCGAGCACTGAATGTCCCCGGAGCGACGGGGCTTGCAGGGTGGGGACAGGGGATGAGCCTGCGTCCCCCGGGAGCAGCCCCGCTCCCCAGCACCCACATCCCGRCCCTCCCCGCACACCCCGCACGGTAGCCGGATTCGTAGCACTCAGCAGCTCCCGGCTCACTCACGGCAAATCCCCCCTAATCCCATCAGGAATCCCAAGCCGGGAAAAAGAGGAGGGGGGTGTCAGACCGGGGTGTCAGACCAGGGCTAGAGGGGGACAGGGACACCACAGGGCAGACGGGAAGCAGGGATGGGGCCGCAGGATGCTCACCCCAGTGATGTCCCCGCCGGGCCGCGGGGCGAGGCTGCAGGCGGAGCGCGGGGAGGGGGGAGAAGGAGAGGGGGAGGAAGGCAGCCCCGCTCCGGCGGGCTGGCTGGTCTCTCCCATTTTTAGATGGAAGAAGGAGGGGGTGAGGGAAGGGAAGGCAGGGCAGGGCAGCCCGGGCGCCCCCGGGGCTCATTGGAGGCGCCGGAGCKGCCGGAGGAGGAGTCCGGGAGCCTCTCCCCTCGCCGGGGGCACAGGAGCAACACCTCGGACTGCCCAGCCCGCTGAGGGGTCACGGCCAAGCCTGGGGATAGTGAAACCACCGACGGTGATTCTCCGCCACCGCTGAGAGCTCCCGCATGTCCCCTCTAAACGGGGGTGACCCCGGGAATAGAAAGTGGGGCAACTCCGCTGCACAAGCCCCGAGGCTGGCGGAGAAGGGGCGGCCCCACATCACCCAGCACCCGATCACCTCCGGCTCCTCTCCCCCGTGGGTAGATGTGCCCATCCCCTGCGCTCCGAGGAGGCTGGYAGCCACACGGCCGCGGCTCGGGGCCGCTGCCTTCCCTGGACACGGAGGGACACAGCCCCCAGCCCCACAGAGGAGAGACTGCTCACGGCAGCTCAGAGGAATCCAATTTTGCTGCGGCCAGGAGCTGCCTCCCCTGCTGCTAATGAAGTGCCTTTAATTAGCAGCCTAATAGCAAGCTCTTAATTTGCCGAACAGCCAGTTGAAAGGATGGGGACCCCACTAAGCCACGGCTTGCAACAGCTCGAAGGGTTTAAAAGGGACAGGTCCCGACAGGCTGGCCCCACTCAGGACGGTCCCGGGGTGTCAGAAAGCAGAGCTGGGAGAGCCCCATGGGCATCCCCACACCTGCCGTGCTGAGTAAGGGAGAACCCAGGCACCACATCCTCCCACAGAAGCTCCAGCTCCGGTCCCCTCCCTCCTCATGAGCCTCCAGCTCTTCCTGAAAGCACTGGGCCCTCTCCCCCAGCCACCGGCCCTCTCCAGCCTGCCACAGTTCAGCCTTTCCTAGGGCTGGCCCCTGCTCAAGAGCTCCTGTGTCTTGCTCAAATTCAGCGTCTCCACATCTGGATCAGGGCATCACCTTTACCTTTGTGCGGGTGTGCTGGGTGGCTCTAGAGACATTGGTGACAGGGCCACAGAGGGGAGACCTGTAGGACCTTCTGGGATGGTCCTGGTTCCTTCCCAGAGCAGCAGGATGAAGATCCWTTTTATTGGAGCGCCCATGGGTGAGATGACTTGGCAAGAGAACGTGCAGCCTGAGTCCCAGCCAAGCCCAAAGCACCCAATGCTCAAAGCAGGGCAGCCCTAAACATGCCCAGGACTCACCCCAAACCCTTGCTAACACASGGTGATGAGCCAGGCCATGCTCCAGGCCATGTCCTATAGCCATGCTCCAGCTCTGGTCATTCAGGTACTTGGTTCATCTCTAGGAACAGGACACWGAGGGTTAAAGGTGTCCAGTGGTGTCTGGAAAGGGCACTGGAGAGAGGAAACAGCAGCAGCCATCTCTCTCCCATCGTGGTACTCTCCCAGCATGTACCTACCAAAACCCCTCCTGGAGCTTCCCAGCCCCTCTCCGCTGAAGCCCATACCTGTCCCCAAGCTCCGTGCTCATCCCTGCAACCACAGCCCCTCCTCCTGCCACACAGTCTGACACTGGGGACCAAGCAGGGACATCCTCAGGACACAGTTCCAAGCCAGGGGATGGCTGCTGCCCTGATTTAGGGAGTAAATCAGGGTTATTGTCACTGGTTACCAGCTGTGGCTGGAATGTGGGAAGCAGATGTAAAGGTGAGAAACACAAGGTGGGGTAAGAAGGGGGAGGCGAAAAGCCTGGAGTGCCAATTAAGGGTCACCAGGGGGCTGGGTTAATTGGGGACACTCCTGTGACCTGACCTGGTGATGGTGGCAGGCGACACATGAGGGCTGGTGAGGAACAGCTCTGAGCTGCAAGGGAGCTTGTCTCCACATTTTACAGGCATTCCTCCTCTGCCTCCCTGTAAGGAATCCCTGGCTAAAACATCCATGGCTGGGAAAGTGGCTGTGAGCCCATGAACACCCTAATCCTGGCCATCACCACTCCCAGAGCTCCTGTCCCACTCTTGCCTCACTCTGCCCCAGACTCCAGACACAGCGCTGGGGCTGTGCCTGTCCCAGCACGTTATGCCACAGGATGCTCATGCATCTCCTTTCCTCTCAAGGCACCTGACACACAGCGCCTGGGGCACAAGAAACCCAGGAGAACCGGGAGAGGCTGAGCAGCAGGTGGAGCTGCTCCCAGCACACATCCTGCACAGGGTGGTGGCATTTGCTGAGGCCAGGAGGATGAAGAAGCTGTTGGGAGACCTGAGGGCTTCTCTGAGCTGACAGCTCCCCATTGTGAGGTCTGTCCCCTTTTCCAAGATGAGACAGAAATCCCTTGGAGAGGACGTGGTCTTCAGTGCTGCTTCTCGGGGTTTGCYCAGCAGGGCCCAAACTAGATAAATTCCACAAGGAAGCAATAAGCAGCTCACTGGAAGGCATAAAGATGCATTGCTTAGCAGCCACTGACCCCTTTCCCTGCAGTGGAGCAGAGGGAACTCAGCAGCATAGGCAGAGCAGGCAGAGCTGCTCTCAGACATCACTGCCACTCCCAAGGTCAGAGCAGTTTGCCGGTGCTGCCCTTTCCAAGCTGACACTGCACAGAGATGGTCTGGCAGCCTCCCTGCCTTACTGCCCCAGAGAGGACAAGCCTTCCTTCATCTCCCTCTGTAAATGCCAGCARGGTGTTCTGGGCATGGGACAGGGAGTTTTGGGTGATGTTAACCAGGGGCTTGAGTTTCTTCAAACCACAGCGGCCTCCAGAAGGAAGACAGTGCTGTCCCCAGTGCAAGCACTGCTCAGGCTGCTGTCTCTGCCTTGTTGCACTGGAAAGCCCATCTGGCTGTTCTCCATCTGCAGAAAGGCTAYTTACTTGAACAGGTGAGACCTTTTCAAGTCCAGGTTCTCCTGGTCATATCCCTTATCCAACTTCAGTGGTTCCCAGCTGATCTGCCCCACAGCTCAGCATCCTCTCTGCTGGTTTGGAGATTTCTTGCTGCTCCTACCAGCCAGGTGCATGTCAATGTAATATTGAAGAGAAAGCTCTGGGTGTAAAGGTAACATGGATGAGAAACAAAGAGTCTCTGTCTTGGGGGTATAATGAATGTGAGTCTGAGCTCGCTTAGGGTAAAGCAAAGTGGCTGCTACTCACAAACATTGTGAGTAGCAATGCACTGATGGCATGGATCTGCTGGCAAAGGGTCAGGCTATCTCTGATGGCTGCAGCCCATTGCATGGGACAGCACAAGCAGCAGCTTATTTTAACTCTTGTGTGGYCTCCTCCAGCAGCCCCTCTTGGGACAGGGTCCTGGGCAATGGATGTGATGGCTGTGCAGCAGTTTGAGTGCTTGGCAAAGCAGAGCTGTCCAGTGCTCTCAAGCCAGGAGTGGACCTTATTCCCACAAAACATTGAATCATTTCCACATCCTGGGCACTGACACGTGTGCCATGGACAGAGAGCTCTGCCACACAATGCCTTTGGACAAAAGGGGTCAGGACATTGCTTGAGCCAGGCACAGCCCCTACCCCCAGGGCAGATGACAGCTCACCCACAGAAATCCACAGCAGCTCTACAGCATTGTCTGTCTGCTCAGGGCGTTTTGTTTCCCTGGCCACACTGCCTCCTCTCCTGAGAGCTCCTCATCCTCTTCAAACCAACTGCTAAACCCATCCTAAACAGTTATTGTGAGAATTACTTTCTTTCTAGCCTASATAATCACAACTGGCCAATTTCCCCTTTGCAAGAAGTGCCTTACTATACTCTTGAAAGCATGTACACAAGWTAATAATAAAAAACCACCAAACAAGAGATTTCATTTTAAAGCTGTAGGTTGATCAAATGCTGTTAATTTGAAGCTATGGCAAACATTACTTTCCTCCTTCATTTGAAGTGGAAATAAGGCACACATTTTTAAACAGAAAGGGTAATTAACCACTGAATCTATTTACGATAAGCTGCTCATTCTTTTCCAGTGGAAATTTACAGTTGAGATTGCTTTTCTTCCTCAGACTCTCTTTAGTATCAGAATTTTTGGACATGAGTCYAGATTTCTGGGGAGTCTTCCAGCCCCTGCCCTGCAGGACAGCACTGTCCCAGTCCTAGAAGTCTGGAATAAAGACCCTGATTCTCATCTTTAAACAGCAAGAAGGAAGACTCTAAGGAACATCTAGAACAAGTAGAACCTGTTTCTCTTGGGAGTGGGAAGTGTGTATTGTTTGTGTATACACAGAYACCTGGGACTGTGAGTAAGGAAGGGCTCTCATTTATGTGTGCTGGCACTCACAGGTTGTTAAAATCAAGCTATATTCTGTATTACAGACCAATCCAAAACAACGAATGAAGGCTGTCACTGCAACTCCTCTGCCAAATCTATTAYTGAATGGGAGGAAATGGCAGAGAAGGAACAGAAACAGTTAAAGTCATGTAAAAAAAAAATATATATATATATATATATAATAAATATATATGTAAAATATATACATGTGCACACTYGCATACATAAAAACACTGAACCCTTGCCAAATAAAGCACGAGGCTGCTGGGAACCCTGTCACAAGGAGAGAYGGAGATTGGAAGTGACAAGAATCCTGCTCCCAGCACTTCAGAAAAGCAGGAGCCTTCACAATCTCCAGTCCCCCGCTGGCTCCCAAGAATGGAGCCAGCAGGRAGAGAGATATCGGGAGGGCAGGGGTTTGTTTGTTTTCTGACCACCCCCGGAGTCAAGATCTTAAAACTGCGGTGGCCTTTGTTTTAAAAGGGGCTGTTAAGTAAAATGGAAAGATCCAAGGCTGCTATCCGAGGAGCACTTTTAAGAGGAAGGTATTTGGAGGGCAAGGGTGCTTGCGTTCCGATTCGGGCGAGCCATAAGCACGGCAGCATCCCCAGCCATGCAACTGCTTGGTGATGCTGCGATATGTCAATTACTCACTCATTATTGAACAGCAGGATTCTGATTAGCTTATAAAACAAATTTGTGCTTCTCCTACCAGGATCTTGCAACACTACCCAGAAAAACACAAAGTCTTTATAGCTTTCCCCCTACACTTTTTAATGGGTAGGACAGCTCCAGCTCTTCTC